TTAGAGCGGTAATGGATTGGATGAGGAAAAACAGATTGAAGTTCAATCTAGACAAAACGAAGGTACTAACAGTGACTGGCCTGAAACCAGATTTGGGTATACAGTCCTGGATGGAGTCACATTGTCCTCTAAGGACTGTGTTCGCAGTCTGGGGGTGCTCTTAGATTTGCTGCTTCACATGACTAATCAGGTGAATGCGACAGTCAAGAGTGCTTGTTATCAGCTTCAGTTGATACGCCAGCTACGCCCTTATCTGGATATGAGGGATCTGGAAACTGTAGTACATGCTCTGGTAACCTCACATCTGGATTACTGCAATGCACTCTACATGGGGCTAACCTTGTGCCTAATCTGGAAATTGCAATTGGTACAAAATATGGCAGCCAGATTAATTACCAGAACATCCAGGAGGGAGCACATAACATCAGTGCTTAAACCCCTCCACTGGCTGCCGATTAGTTTCCGGGCACAGTACAAGGTGTTGGTTTTAACCTTTAAAGCCTTACATGGCTTGGGTCCATCTTATCTCAGGGACTGCCTGTCCCCATATGAGCCCCCTCATACCCTTCAGTCCTCTGGGAGGAATCTGCTGCAGCCCATGAAGAGCAGGCTTTTGCAGACCTCCCAGAGGACCTTTTCCACAACCGCTCCCAGGCTATGGAACAGCCTGCAGGATGAGATTCATCTCATCACCACGCTTGCTGCTTTTAAGAAAGTAGTAAAGACGTATCTCTTCTGGCGGGCCTTTCCGGAATAGCCTCCCGGACATAGGAGTGCGGCAACCAGCCTGATTTACCAAAACTGTGCATGCTGCCCATAATTTTTTGTCTTGGTTTTATAGTGTTTTTGCATAATGTTTTTGCATAATTTTAACGTAATTGTCAGTTTAATTTAGTTTTAAGGGGTGGGAGGGTTAGGGTACAGGTATTGGTTGTTTTAACTTGTTCATGTTTTAATCATGCTGTAATCTGCCCCGATTGCCTAGCAGAGGGGCGGGCTATAAATAAAATTATTATTATTATTATTGGCATGATTTCTAGACCCCTCACCATTTTGAACATACTCCAGCTTGTCAACATCCCTTTTGAATTGTGGTGCCCAGAATTGGATACAGTATTCATTTAAAACAAAGAGTCATAATTTTTTTTAAAAAAGATTGCATATGTCTTTTTACAGCCATTGTGGATGGAGGTGTTTGCCACCTCTATCTTCAACAATGTACCATTCTCTTTCCTTATGATTTTGCAGCTAGAGTAGACCACCACTGGAGGATGAAGGCAGACAGATAACATCTAGCTATGTTCGTGCAGGCAGATACATGAAGAAACAGGCATGCTCCTGGACTTTCCAAAGGTCCTTCAATGTCATCCTCCTATGTTTGGCTACAGAGGAACAGCTGGATGCTGTCTTGTCACCCCATTCTCCCATGGGAATGGGTATCCTGGATTCAAGACTAAGTAAAAAGCATGAGGAGAGTGTAGTTGTGCCTGTTAGGGCTTTAGGCTCCAGCAGTGTCACTTAGGATAACACCCTCTATGTATACAGTCAGAAGAAAAAACACAATTTATCTCTAAAGGCTGGCTTTTTTTGTAGTCATCACATATTTTGAGAATTTTCTTTTGGAGAGTGAGGGGGGTTGCAGACTACCAGAAATAGTGCAAATTGAGTCCACTTTTAGGGTTAGGGTTAGGGTTGGGGAATCATGGGAAGTGTATTTTATTGTGGCATCAGAGCTGTCTGACATAGAAGACTCAATGTCTCAGGAAAAAAAACAATTCCCATGATTCCCTAGCACTAACCCTAACCCTAAAAGTGGACTCAATTTGCACTATTTCTGGCAGTCTGCAACCCCCCTGAGTCAATAAAAGTGCATATTATCCAATAAAATATTTTTAGTATGAAAATATTGAGATGCTCCAGAAATGGATGGGTTTTGATATTAATGTACATGAAAAAGAGGGCACTGTGAGACAGGTTTGTCCAACCAATGTTTCAGGTAGATGACACACCAGCCTGTGGGCATTTTGTCAACCATTGGGTCAATGCATCATGAAAGGATTAGGTGTGACTCAATGTATGTTTAGTGCTCTTGGAATTTTCCGCATAAAAGAGTCTGTAGAATGGGAATAAGTACACATGATCTTTTGTGAAGGGGAGAAAAGGTCATCCCAAAATGAGTTTTCTCTTCTGTATGGTGACACTTGCTTGTGAATGCTCCTCCTTATGGCCAAGCCCATGTTTGCACAACCATCACCTGAAAAACAAGAGGAACTGAAAATTATCCCTTTTTTGTAGTTAAATATAAATCTTTCTCTGTAGGGACACCATAGATGGCTCAATCCCTACGTGCCAGAAACTGCCTCTTCCACCCTGATAAGCAATTTCATGGTTCTGTCTGTCGAATAGCAAGAGAATGTAAGGCCTTATCCTTGTTTTCCCCTGCCCCCTTCAACATAAGTAGTCAGTCCTATGGAGGGTTGCCAAAGCTTAATCCTGTGCATTTTCCATAAGTGCTGTGAGACTTGCTTGTATAGGCTGCCTTTTAAAAACCAGAGAGTAATTAACGTTTAACCAGATTTTTATATCACAAGCCAGGATCCAATAGCATAAACCCACTGACAGAATGAACCATACCATGACCAGTTTGATAGTTTTACTGTTATTGCAAAGAAGCTGCACAAGCCTTCTCTGGGCAAGCAGAGGATCACCAGTGGTAGAAGCAATAGAAGGCGGCAGCCACAGCACCAGTAGTGGCTAGTGCCAACTATCCATTGCCCCCACCCACACATCTTATCAGAGGAGGAGACAACCACCTAGTATGTACCTCCAGCCAGAGGCTGGCTCTTTCTATAGTGATAATAATAAAAATAATAATAAAATTTATTTGTACCCCGCCCATTGGTAATCCAATCTGGGCGGCTTTACAGTTAAAAAATACCCATTACAAAAATATACAATATAAACGCCCCCCTCCCCCCCTTAAAACTGGATTAAATTAAAGCAATATAAAACAATTCAAATAAAATCTACTAAAATTATATAGCCCTCCTGCCAAGAGACTCCATGAGCCTGACTTGACGATCCCCCCATCACATGATGGGGCCACGTGAGGATCATCTCATTGAGGAGTATTAATCTCGGGTGGAGGATCAGTTCGATATACCTAGTCTGGAAAGGCCTGCCGGAAGAGATCCGTCTTGACAGCCTTTTTAAAGCTGCATCCATTGGCTCGTTCCTTGGGGTTCTCAGAGCCAAGGCACTGTTAACAGAAGTGGTTTAGGAATTGGCTGTGCTTTTCCAGGAGCAGCAGCATTGGAGTGGCGTTCTACTCCATTGGTGTGTAATAGGATTTTGGCCATAGTATTTCATATTAGATACATGTTTATATGGGAGTCAGTGTGGTGTAGTGGTTTGAGCATTGGATTAGGGCTCCAGAAGACTGGGGTTCAAATCTCCACTCAGCTATGGAAACCACTGGGTGACCTAGGGCATGTCACACACTCTCAGCTTAAGAGGAATGCAAAGGCAGTCCTCCTTTGAATAAACCTGGCCTAGAAATCCCAATGGTGGGTTTACCATGGCCGTAATTTGAGTTGGAACACCCACACATGTATAGATCCTTTATGTCATGCAGGTGTGCTTTTTCAGGCACTACAGGGTTGATTTCTATCCTTTCTTGCAGCTCCCAAAGCCCCACTTCCAACTTACTTTAAAGCCCTTAAGCCACCTTATACTGGCCCTTTGTGCTCCAGACAGGATTGGCAAAGTATATGACAATCTACAGTCCCAAGCTGAACACACAGAGACTCCAGAATTGCTGAGACTTCTGGAGGAACCCCATGGATATAAGCATTGAAGACAATGTTGTGTGTCTGGCTATGGGAGGGTTAGCCGGACATTTTCTGATCCTACCTGCTCACCTTGAAGGGCTTTAAAGTAGGTCAAGGGGTAGCATATGGATCAGCGTAGTTTAAGGTCTGGATGCAGATATTTACTCTGTGCTGAAGAGAATGTTGAACTGAGGTCCATAAGTCAGAATTGAGTTGAAGGCACATAAAAATAACAACCAATGTTATTGAGTCAACCCAATATCAATCCCTGGCACCCCTGAAGCCAGGATTTAGGAAAGGATGGGGTGGGGAAAATAAATTCACTAGAGAGCTTCCTCCGGAAACAATGAAGGGTGATCTCACAGTGAGTCTTTTCTGTTAACTTGACAAGTAATTCTTCAGTATAAAAAACTACTTCCTGACACTAACAGCATAACTGCAAATGTGGTGAAGAAGAAAGGTGTTCTTCTGAAAACAGAACTGGCTACTGTTCAACATGATGAGATGCTCCCAAATGTTGGGGTGGCAAACTGACTCCATTATTTTGGCCAATGTTTCAAAAGATGATTGCTTCCCCAAATGTGCAAATTGATGAAACAGGAAAAGGTGGGCAGGAACCATGGCAGGTATGTTCATGCCCAGACAACATGTAACAATCAGAAACAGAAATGTGTTGACCTGAATTCTTGAGACCTTTGTTGTTTGTATCTGTGGCAACATTGATCCTTTATAAGAACTCAAAAACTCTCTTATTTTGGATTTTTTTTCTCCAATCAACTTTGTTTCAGCTATACTTGGAAACTTTTTTAATGAAGAGAAGAAGAAGAACTGTGAAAAAATGAAATACCCTATAATTATAGGAGGTGCAAAACTTACCATAAATTTGGTATATGTTTTAATGTCCCTTGAACAGTTTTAGAATTTGAGACTTTTTTTTTTTTACCTCTCTTAAGAATCTTTTCTTGGCAACTTCCCAGAAAGAAGATTTTATCATCTCTTGGAGCAGTTTGTTCCATTCCTCCTCTTGTTTTGATGGTTAGGAGTTTGCTCTGTGTCCAGACTAGATAATTGCCAGAGTGTAATTACTTGATATTTAACACTTTGGGTACAATTCAGCCGAAGTTCAACACTTTGAAAGTCCACTTCTGTTGAAGCCAATAAGATTTTTAAGTGCTTAAATTTCTCTAGATAGTGCCTATTATGTATTTTGTTTTATTTTTGTAATTATTTATTATTTTCAGAACACCTTTCTATTAGCATTTCATCCCAAATACCGATCTCTATTTTTATTTCTTTCTATGTAGAAAGTGATGTTTCAACAATTAATTTGCATAATCTGTAAAAACAATATATGCTGTGGAGAGGTCATTCAGTGTTTCTGTGAAAATCTGTATATAGGTATGTGTGTATATGTGTCTTCAAGTGGTCTGCTGACTTCTGGTGACCTCATGAATTTTATAGGATGTTTTTTAAAGCAAGGAATACACAGATGTACTTTTGCTTTTCCTCTGAAACATAGTCTATAGCACCTGGTATTTATTGGTGGCCTCTATCCCAGTACTAACCAGGATTGACCCTGCACAGCTTCCAAGGTCAGACAAGATGTGATACCTTTAGGTTATTTAGGCATGTATATAGATGGATCAGAGTATTTATAGTCCGTGTTTACCTTATGTTAAACTTGTTCAATTTTAATCTCATTGCAGTCTACAGCTTGTACAACAATGTTGCTGTGTAGTGGCTCAGGAAAGGTTAGGGTGTCCATGAAACATGTGCCTATAGTTTCTTTGCTTCCCTAAAAAAAAAAAAGTGATTTTTTTACTAGAACAGGAAATCTGAATTTTGATGAAAATGAAACTCCAGTATGTAGCTGGCTGGGCTCTTTAGATATATTTTAAAGGTGTTATTGAACTGTAACATCAGCAGATGGTGCTGTACTCAGGACACAATTGTGTATCTTTGGTATATTTCAATGAATCAATCTTTATTACGGCCATTTGAGCAGTACAAACATAAAATAAAACAAATAAAAAAATAAAATAGAAGTATATTTAACAGTAGGATAAAACCTCCTTGCCACTCTTCACTGCCTTTTGCCTCTTGATTCTGTTTTTATTTCTCCCTCTTCCACTCACTCCCTCTTGTTAGAATTATCAACACCCTTTCACCTATCCCTTTCTCCACCTGGTATTGTCTGGTTAGTTCCAGGTTGTGGTAAAAGTCATCACATTCCTGATGTCTCAACTTCCCAATGTATTATCTTTTATGATACATTCATCTTGAAAATTCCATTACCAACTAGACAATGATGACAGAAGAGATTTACACATTTTTAAAAGCAGATCTTCTAACTACACAAAATCTCCTCCATAAAAAAAGTCAAAACAAACACAAAGCATGTTGGCTCCTTGCTTATATCGTGTATCTGTGACAGTTTCTCTGCAAGAATTTGTGGTTCTTTTCTACTAAACAGAAACAATTCACTTAAGAATTCAAAGACATAGCCAGTGTTAGTCTGGAAAATCAGTATGCACCTTGTAGCACCTTTGAGACTAACTGAAAGAAAGAAGATGGGAGCATGAGCTTTTGTAGACTCGAGTCTGCTTCCTCAGATACTTCTAATAAT